CCAAAATGGATGGGACGGTGGAGGGGGGGGGGGGGTGTTCGTTGCTTGAAGTGGACCAATAAAACATAGAGCCATCAAAGCAAAGCTTATTACTCACGTCGAGCAAGCTGAACGACCTGACCAACTACGCAAAAAACTGCGGAGCTAGATGTGCGGCACGCACAATGCATTGTTTTCGATTGGAGAGAGGCGAGTACAAAGCAGTAAGGAATTGTTGGCCAAACTTTCGGCAGATAGGTCTACTCGGGAGCGTAAGTGGGGTAGCAACCCATGGTGGAGCTTACATGAGAAGCTGGACGTTGGTGTACGCTCCATCCTGGCGTGTGAGTAGGATCTTAGGCTATGCAAGTCGTCCCTGAACTTTTTGTGGTGAAAATGACCTCCCAGGAGGAAAGTAGCTTGCACCGCGGGACTTCGGAGATGATAAATTGGGTGGTCGGGGGATGTCTGGGTGTTTACTAAGAAGAGCGCCCGGCACACAAGACTGGGGTACTTGTGCCAGGAGGCGTGAACTTGGATCTAGACTACGAGCCCATGTTGGAGGCGCTATTTAGCGTCGGTGAGCCGGCAAAAGAACTGAAAGGATCCACAACCCCCACCGGACACTCGGATTGGGAAGGCCGAGTATTCCGTATACCTTCCTGACAAAACACGAAAAACAAGTGGCCGCGGTCCAGTTGCTGTAGAGATCATGAGGATGGTGAAGAAGCAGGGAGGATGGAAGCAGAAACTGTGGAAGGGAGACAGGTTGGAGCTGCTGCTGTTTGGGATTCCAAGGGACGTGACGAGGATAAGAGTTCAAGAACTGTTGTGACAAGGAGGGACTGCACTGCCTAGCAAGGGGAGAAGTAGGCAGAGAGCATGAACATTTCCGGGTGAAATTGACCAAGGGAGACAGCCAAGAGTGCTCGAGGGTTGACACCGAGAAGCTGTCGAACTACATAAGGAAGTTTGGATGGAGGGTTTGCGTCGCGAACATGATAGAAACAGAGAAGGTAAGGAGACAAGAGGCGAGGGCGATAGAGGCGAAGGAGGGACCGGGCGTGGGAGGCGAGCAGGCAAAACAGAAGAACGCCGAGAAGAAGCGGAAGGCGAACGATAGAGTGCGCAAAATCTCCAATAGGGAAAAGCACAAGCTGAGAGCGGGGTCGTGGAACGTGTGCGGGTTCGCAAGGAGTGAGCGCAAGCGGTTGGAAATAGTGGACCAAGTAGAACAAAGCGATCTAGATGTAGTGGGGATCCAAGAGACGTGGGAACTGAAGGATGGGGACGTGGTAAGCAAACTAGGGAAATACCGGTGGGTAGGGAAGGCAAGAAAGGGCTTAGACCCGAAGAAAAGGGGGGAGGGGGGAGTCGGGTTCCTGGTCAAGGAACACTTGTTTGACATATGGAAGTACTGGTGAAAACGGAGTTCGAGGAAAGCCTATGGCTTAAGGTACCTGGGGAGCGGGGTGAGAAAGATTTGTTTCTAGGGGAACGTACACGTCCCAACGTCGTCGAAGAAAGTCGCAAGCAAGGCGCAGGAGAACTTTGGACAAATTGGGGAAGATGTCCAGAGGTTCAGTAGGAAGGGAGAAGTTGTCATGGTGGGCGATTTCAACTCCAGAGTAGGGAAAGCTTCCAGTAGAGGACAGGCGATCGGGCAGCACGGAGACGACAAAGTGAATGACAACGGAGCGAGGATGCTTGAATTCTTGGGAAGCAACGAGCTGATGGTGTTGAACGGTAGGAGGGAATGCGATAAGCCGGAGTTCACCAGGCAAAGGGCAGTGTGCAATGAATACTCGATCCTCGACTACATGCTGGGAGATAGGAGGAGCACACAGATCCCAGAGCTGCACGTAAGCGCGATAGATAAAGGTTCGACCGACCATTTCCTCATATGGGCAAACATCGACCGATCTAGAAAGACGGAGAGTAAGAGACAGAGGAAAGTGTTTCGGTGGAAAGTAGAGCGTTTGGGAGACGAGGGGACACGGGATGAATTCCAGAAAGGACTGGCTGGTACAGTAGTGTAGAACCCTTCAGGAAACTGCTGAGAAACGTCGAAGACGGACAGGTAGACGTACAAGCAGCAGGGGACAGGGTGATTGAAGGATGGGAGTCCATAGTGAAGATAACGGCAGAGAGAGTAGTGGGAAAGAAGGTGGTACGATGTGGGGTATCGGCTAAGTGGTGGGGTGACGAGCTGAAAGAAGAAATAGGGGAACGTAGAGAAGTCTTCAAGCAGTACCTGAGTGAGGGGTCTGAGGAGAGTTGGGAAAAGTACAGGGCCAAGAGGAAACAGGTGAAGGGACTAGTGAAAAAGAAGA